GATTCGTACTTTGCAGTGAAGAGTTTAATTTTCACTTGTGCCTTGACTTAAGCCACCAATCAGATAACCTCCTTCTAGTTAAGTCTACTTGCTTAGAGTCTATTTTGCCCTCCCGTTCCCTAAACCCCAGTGCTTTCAAAAACTCTGCGCCATCATCCTGAACCATAGGGTGAAGCCCTTTACAGAACATTATCAAGTGTTCGGCAGTTTCTTCTTCCTCTCCACACGCACTGCATACTGTGTCTACCCCTTCGTATTTGGCCCGATATGTCTTGGTTCGCAGTACTCCCGTCCTTGCCTCAAACAGTAGAGAACTACCCCGAGTATTATCATAGATCCTTTCCTTGGCAATTTCCTGCTTAAAAGTTCGATAGATCTCTACTGCGGACTTCTTAATCATGCCCATTTTCCACATGTCAGTCTCCGTTTCCTTCACTTTCTTCTTAACCGATAGTTCTTTTTGGTTTGGCCACCTGCTGTTTTCTAAGTATTTACCAGTCAACTTCCTGGTTCGCTTCCTTCATTTTGTATCGGCATTCTTCATGTACAAGTAGCTGAAAACCTTCCTAGCCCAACGCTCCTCCTTCATTTCTCTCAATCGCTTCTCAAATTTTATCTTGCTGCTAGCTTCCCTGCCCTCAAATGATGTCCATCCCATATCACCTTGTACTCCCTGATTTGGTGTATTCCCGTGAGCTCCTAAAGCAAGCCTACCTATTCGACGTTGCTTAATTTCTAATCTTGCTTGAACTTCTGATGTCATGCACAAGACCGCATTGCCGAACGTCAGCCCAGGAACCATGACCCCTTTCTATATTCCTCTCACAACATCACACCTATTGTAATTCCACAATGCCCTATTTTTAATCACTGCTGCATTCCTGTTACCTTTAGTCGTCACGTATATTTCGTGTTCCCTCAGGTACTCGGTCCCATTGCTTATCCATACGCCCAGATATTTGTTTTTATCTGTTATCTCTAGCGTGACCTCCTCTATCCTAAGCTCACTACCTTCATTATCATTAAAATTATGACTGTTAATTTTTCCTTGCTGAATCTGAAATCTAACCTATCTCCCTCATTACCGCAGATGTCCATCAATCTCTGCAAATCTTCCTTATTGTCGGCCATTAGCACTATATCATCTGCGTACATTAATGCTGGTAGTGCCTGATCAAGGAGTTTTCTTTGTTTGACGAAAGAGAGGTTGAAGCCAAGTCCACATCTCTTTAATTTGGCATCTAATCCTTGTAGGTACATCATGAATAACAAGGGCGACAAAGGACACCCCTGCCTAAGCCCCTGTTTCATCTCTGTGGACTCAGATACCTTTTTTTCCCATTTTATGACTACTTTGTTACTCTTATATATATCCTCTAAAAGAATCGAGTGAAAGAAAAGCGCCGCACCTTGTTGCTTTTATAGATATCCTTTAAAAGATTAGTGACTCCATCCTCCACAACTAGTGTGTCCAGTATTCGCCACAAGTCCCCTTGAACCACGCTATCGTACGCTTCCTTGATATCCAAGAATGCTAGCCACAGAGACATGTGTTCCTTTTCTGCTGTTTCGATGCAATGCGTCAGTGAGAACAGATTGTCTTTGAACCTCTTGTGTTTCCGAAAGCCATTCTGGAGTTCCCCCAGCACCCCTCATCCTCTATCCATGCCTGCAGTCTTTCCTTTATAATCTGCATTGCCAGCTTGTAGACCACTGATGTCATTGTTATAGGACGGTAGTCACTTATGTCAGCTTTGTCCCCCTTTCCTTTATAGATCATGCTCATCCCGCTAAGTTTCCATCCATCGGGAACTTCACCATCGATTATTATTTTGCTCACTGCCTCTTTCAAAGCCTGCTTAGACTTCGGACCTAATGTCTTTTTCAGCCTAATTGGAATGCCATCTGGGCCTGTTGATGTACTACTAGGAACCCTTTTCTCAGCCCTTTCCCACTCTCGTTGTGAAAATGGAGCCATTGCACCACTTGATTCGTCTTTGTCTATTGTGGTGCATAAAGTACTTCTTTGTTGAAATTTTTCTGTCACCCTTGTTTTAATATATTCAATAGCTTCGTCCTCTTCTAGCCTGGCACCTTGGGCTGTAGTTATAAAACTCTGCTCTAGGCTCGTCTCATTTTTTAGGGAGTTTATATGGTTCCAAAATTTCGCAGCTGCCTTTCTATCTTTTTTATGTACTTCTGCCAGCCACTGAGTTCCTTTTCTTCTAATCTTTTCATTGATCAGAAGGGATGCATCCCTTCTACAGCTTAGAAAGGTTGCCCATTTTCTTTCAACATCATCTGTCGGTTCACCCAGCTGCTTAGCATGTTTGTGTTCCCTAGAGGCTTCCTGACATTTTGCTATGGCTCTCTTAACTTCCTCATCCCACCAACTTTTGGGTTTGTGTCTTCTTTTCCGGGCTGACTTGTTACGCGTCTTAGCAAGCCCTAGCTCAAAGAGTCTAATTAGATTCGTGTATGTCCACACTGTCTTATTATCCTGCGTGATTACTTTCTCAATTTGTTCAGTGGCCATTTCAATTTGATTTTCTGAATAAAAATTTTCCTGTAGTTGCTCATCTTGTCTCCTTCCCACTTTCACTGCTCTTCCAAAACTTAGCTTGATACATTTGTGATCACTACCCAGACTTCTGGAGCCACCTTCATCTATGTGCATTCCCCTGAGCTTATCATACATCCTATGTGACATCAGTGCAGAATCTATCGTCGACTGCAGCCTTCCTACCTCCCATGTTATTTGCCCTTCACACTTCTCGGTACTGTTGCAAATGATCAAATCAAGCCTTTCACACATATCCATGATCATTTTGCCTGTCGGGTCGGTATACCCATCTATATCTTCTATGTGCGCATTCATGTCTCCTAGTATAATTATCTCGCACTCTCTTCCTAACTCCTGAATGTCTTTTAATATACACTCTACCATTACTTGGTTTTCCTCTCTGGCCTTTGCTCCCGTCCACAAGTACACGAAACCAAGGAGTGTCATTTGACCTGCCACTTTCCCTTTTAGCCATAAATGTTCCTTGCACTCCTGCTTGACCCTTTGGCAGTCTATACTTTTATGAATGAATGCCCCAATACCACCCCCCTTTCTGCTGCCTTCTGTTCTATTACAATATTCTCACGCGTAGTCCGGATTGTTCGGAGGTTGTTCCATGTCCCTGAAATGCGTTTCTACAAAACCGTATACCATCGGCCTCTCTTCCCTTAGCTGTTCTATCTCTTCCCACTTCAGCCTATTCCTACCACCCTGCATGCTAATATACCCTTTGTCTGAATGGGCTCGGCGCTCGTGGGTACGTCTATTTATACCCCGGACTCTACCTATCTTAGACATTGTTGCCACTTTGGAATCGTATCTGTCCATAACACCTGTTGAAGAGTCTCCCTGGTTATTTTCCTCGTTACTAGCTATCCTGCACCCCGAAGGGCTCGCTTGCCCGCCAAAAAAGCTACTGCGCGTCCTGCAAGTCACCAACCCACCTCAAGGCCTAGCCGCCCATCGAAGTGAATTCTGTCTCGTTGAAAACCACCCCACCTATGCACCTCTCTGTTTATTTCCACCACCTCAAAGCCTTTTTCTCGACTCATCGCCATATCTCTTGGTTTGCGTTGACAACCGCTCTTTGCAGGTTGCTATCACGCACCGGTACCTACGGTATCGTGCATACGACTACCTGTACCTTAGGAGAAGTGGCGCGCATGTCATGCATGTCATCGACGCCTTTCGCCAGTGTGGCTGCTAGTCCTGCTGTATCTTCATTTAAGACATCGTTTAAACCACCTGAAATTATCACGAGGTTTCGTCTATCAGCTGTAGTTTTGAGTTTTGCGCTCGCTTGCCTCATGACTGCTTCAAGCTTGCGTCCTTGGAACGCCCCTACTGCAACCCTCTTGTCACCTCTTACCCTCTCTTTTATGACTTCTGTGCATCTATTTAAATTCGAGTCCCCGGCGATTATCACATGGGGTGACTTTTCAGCTGGAGCGTCCTGCACCTGGGGGCTACTTGCACCTGTGACGCCGGCTGCTTTGTCCCCTCCCAGCCCCCCCACTACCTCGCTGAAGCTGGGCCTTGCGACAGTTGAACCGACTAAACCTGTTTTTTCCAAACTTGCTTGCTCTTCCTTCTCCACCGTTCTGGTTGCCGGTTCTCTACTGTTCTCTCCGTAGGCCGCTTCTTTGTTCAGCTTCACTAGTGCTTCCTCGGTGGATTTCAGTCTTTCTCTCATTGCCCTCGTTTTCTCTTGCTCTGTCGCCAACGCCGTCTCGAGCTCATCGATTCTCACCAGCAGTTCACTTTGGGCAACCGTCATTTTCTCCATTTTTTCATCGACCTCACAAGTGCCTACACTTCGCGTCAGCCTCTTCTCCATCCGCTTCTACGCTCTGGTCCACTTTCAAACCCACTCCACATCCTGAACACTTTACAGTCTTTTTAACCATGTCTTTCTGACACCGATTGTCCCTATACTCGATAATTACTAAACTCGAGCCGTGCACTACGAAAAAAAAAAGAAAGTCTAAGCTCTACTACAAAAATTTGCGTGTTCAATGTACGCGCACCTCCCTCACGTGGCGGCGAAAGAAAAAAAAACAACAACAACAAAAAAAATTTCAAACACACACACCTGCACAAACTAATAAATACCTGGTGACTGGCCCCCGAAAAAGCCGTACCATAAAATAAGTGCTACGAAGATTTCAACCGCTGCCTTATAATTATAAAGACAAGCTCAAAACATGCAAAAACACTTATCTGCGCAGTCGATCCGGAGCGCTCAAAAAACACGTCCATCCACCGTGACAGCCCGAACAGAAAAAAACGTGCAAACGTGTGCCAGCGCCATCTGGCGGTTTCCTTCCAAGGCGTTACGCGCTAGCCAGCGCGTTCATCACACTTTCCTATTCTAGCCACTGTATGCCGATGGAGAGAGTAAGTGCGGCGCTGCCTCAGAAAGACACGCGCTGCAACGCACGCATGTGGTCAGGCCTTTATTACTCAGCCACTACGCCGAAGAACAACGTAAAGTCACTTGTCAGTCTTGCCATGGCCGCCGCCGAGTCACAAGGAATTCCGGTCGACGTATGTTATTCCTCTCTCTCTCTCTTGTCGTTTTATAGGGCACTGTCTTCACTGCTTAAAACTGTATCATCCACGTGCAATAAAACAAAGTGAACGCTGAAAAAAAAAGAAGGAAATGACAACTCACAGTCGCGCGCACGGTTTCCTTCTGGTAATCTGTAACGGCGGCGGTTATCGCATGCAGCACCTAACAAGCCCTCTCAGGCAAGGAAATCGCGCAATGCTCGGTACACCTTCCCCTTCTAGCCACTCTACGCGTACCACGGTGTAAGAATAGGTAATTCTTACACTGTGACCCGCACTAAGCGTTGTTGGCATTATGCGCAGAAAAGCTGGACTCTTACTGACTCAAAGGAAATCTGAGAGGGTACACGTTTACTAAGTAAACGCAACAGCTTTGGGCTTCAACCTTACGCACAGACATCGCGTATCGTTTGTCTTCTGCCATCTCTACGGTCATCGGATGAATTCAACCCAACCTAATTGTGGTGACGCACTTCGTATACAATGCGCCGATTAGAACAGTCGGTCATGTTAGCATACACGTGAAATAACAAAGCAGTTGTAGTACTCGGCGGCCTTTCTTCCCACAGTTCAGTGGTCGCACTTTCCGGCGCCGCAGGCCTCGTGGTAGACCCGGTGGGCTTCGTGCACCCCATTTTCTGCTGCGTACTTTATCAGCTTTTTGGCTTCCCTGCAATAGAACAGCTTCGGTGAACACAAAGACGAAACATACAGCGTCATAAGCGTGTGCAGGGTTTCTCTTCAGGAGGGGAGGGGGTGAAGGTACGATAAAGGCTATAATCGCAGCCTAAATCCCTCTATCATACCGGGACCTTAATCGCAGCGCCCCCTCTCATACTAAATTGATGTATGGGGCAGATTTTGCGTCACTTCTCTCTTAGTTGACCAGAGGGGATGCCGTCTCCCCCTGCCTCCCATGTGCACCCTTATGTTCAGGGTCACTCTGAACATAAGCGTGTGCATTTTGCCAGATTTTGTGGGCGGGCACAGTGTGTTGGGAGCCTGCCCCCAAAACCTGGAAAAATCCCTGTACTTGCAATAAAATGAAAAAAAAATTGCCCCCACCTCCCCGAAGGGCATCGCGAGGAAATGCGAATGCATTTCTTGCGGCGAGAGTACACATCGTAGAAATTTTAATGGCGTAAATAATGACAATACAAGAATTCGTGCCATAACCACTTATTTACACATTCATCAGCCAGCCAACAGTCGTGAGTGAGGTGCGTGCTTCACTCTATTTTAGGTGGATTCACACGAGGGAACGAGGAGGAATTTTCGCAGCGGACGGCGCATCACGTGACCTACGCGTCATCGAAACGTGCCGTCCTCGCTTCATACGCTCTCCTCCGCTCGCGGCACGGATAGAAATGTGTCGCCGCTATTTTGATCCCTCCGTTTGACGGTCGTCTGCTCTCGATCGAGAGGATTCTGGTCAAATCTGTCAACATTGGTCGGATTGGCGAGGCCAGGAAGCAGGCTGCCGGCTTAAAATCCACATGTTTTAGTTTTGCGGCAACGACCGAATGTGTTTCGTGTGACAGTGAAAGAGGCGAGTGGTTTTTGTGGTGTTTGTCATTCACAGCGCGTGGCTTGCATGACCACATAAGCGCGCTGCATAAGCATAGGAGTCGACAGTATGCGCGAGAATTCCGCGAGCGTAGCTCCGGCTGTGAACATGCAATGTCTCCGTTGCTGCGCCGGATTAAACTAATCACGTTACTATATGGTCTGCGGAAAAGCGGGATTTAGCTCTCGCGTTAGAATCTAGCTTTATATATACGTACGAGCGAGTGTACCGGATTGTGGGACGTAAGGAGGAGAGAGAGCGAACGAGCTCCGCCGAGCTCCCGCGATGCGAGTGCTCTCACAAGCCAGAGCGCGCTCTTCCTCTCCAATCTTTCTTTTTTTGATTGGTCCTCTCCAATCCCTCTTCGCTACTCCGCCCGCACCACCATAGGGAACCAGCGCTGGAGTTTCCGCGGCCACCCTGGCGGTCAAAGCGCGCACTTCTCAGCCGCTCCCGCAGACGACAGTGGCGGCTGGTAGAGGTGGTGCGGGCGCGCATCGCCATAACAAAACCAAATGGCGCTGGCGGTATTGCTGCAAATTCAAGTGAAACAATACGTAGAAGGAGAGAGGACGTATTTCTGTACGTTTTTCTTAATGATAGCAATAAGAAAGAAGGAGGCATTGCATCCAAGCGGTCAGGCGAGCAATGTATGTTCTGCTCTCGCTCTCCTGTCTAGTGGGGTCTAGCTGTTTCTTAAACCGAATGGCGTGTGTGTGCTATATTTATTTGATAGTGAATATGGCCACGGGTGGAAACCAGGGCAAAATGGTCGAACTTAAACGGCGTTTTGCCGGAAATAAAACGAGCGTATAAAAGTAGCATACAGCTTATGTATTTTTTATCTGGCCCACTGAGTGTTGAGCCATGCACCTCAGGACTAACAAAGTTTCTCACACATCCATCCATATCACCACCTTCACTAAACTTCACTGATGCCAGCGTGCGAAGTGCATGATACGGCATGGTAGTCTACATCATTTGTAAACGGTTACGTATAAAGGAGAGCTGCCTTATCCACAATTCGCTGAGATGCCTCTGTTTACTTTAGTTTGTGCTAAAGATGGGATTCTTGTTACTAACAAAGCAGCGGACTACTTGAAGCTTAGCTTTACGGAGCCAGCCGATGCGGTAAGCTTCTTTTTCAGTGGCTGCCGTGGCTAAGTAACATCGGAATTATTTCCCTGCTAGAGAAGTATCCAATGTCTTCGATATTTACTGGTCATTTAGTTCGCCTGACGCAGTTTCAGTTTTTCCGCTTGCCTGTGTCGGCTTAAAATAAATGTGTCTCTTCAACATCAAGAATTGCTAGGCTTTCATGTGCCAAATCAGATATCATTTTGAGGCACGCTGTAGTGTGGGTATCGAGGTTAATTGTGGGGTTCTCCAATGCGCACATTATCTTGGTTCACGGGTGTTCTTTCACCCTCATCGAAGTGCAGCCGCCGTGGTCCGGAATCTAACCCGCGCCTTCAAGCATAGCCCGTGCGTCCCGTGCGTACATACCGCGGACAGGGCGTATATACGATGCGAGAAAAAAAATTGACGCAACAACCACTTCCTCTGTTTTTGTTTGTTTTGTTTTACTACATATATAGACCACGTGTTATCGTCGCAGCACAGATTTATCGATGGGGACATGTCAACCTGCACTAGCATTAGCCCAAAACCCAGAACGAAAGCAGAAAATGAGGACGAGGGAGTCGCTATTACGGCACAGCACCGTCCCTTCTATATTATTTGCATATATGCAGTCCACTTTGCAGGACTTGTCTCTGTTTTTTGGTGCTTTTTATGTGACAGTAGCTTCCGGACAAAGTTATTTTTCTACACCACAGTGCAGTACTACTAGCGCAATGGCTTTTTTAGCTGTTCGTTCTAAAATGAAGCACAGCAGCGGCTCACGCGCGTGCTCCCTCCACGGCACACTGCCGCCGGTCCTCTGGGCACGAGCGGCTGTGTTGTGTCGCGACTCTCCACCAGGCGTTCGTTTTCGGCTAGCCACCTATCCAGTTCTGATCTCCCTAAGCACCCGCACCCGCAGCTCTTGCTATGGAAGAGGGAGTGAGAGCGGAGAGATAACACCTGCCGGCGCGCGGACACCGACAGACGCCTGATATGACCCGACTAAAAAGCATTTTCATTTCAAAACCATACCGTTGAAGGGTTGGCTGATGCATGTACTTTGAGTTGGCAGTATATGTTCTTGGTTGGGAGCTAATTACATCCTATAGCGGACCAGCAGCTGTTTACAACACAGAACACGCACGACCCGGCCTAAAAACGCAATTCAATCCTGACCGTGGCATTCTCATTTTGATGTGATCTTGTGTTGAGGCCCTTGTATTTCAACTTAGGGGCACGTTAAAGAAACCCAGGTGGCTGAAAATCTCGGAGCGCTTCACTACGGCTTGCTTCGATCATGATCATCATGGCTTTGGCACTTGAATTATCTATAATAAAGAACTTAGACATCCAGAACTGTTATTTGAGACCAGGTAGGAGCGTATGTAGGCCTAGCAAGCGAAAGCAGCAACAACGTCCGAGTGGGCCGAGCGCCTCGTGCTTAGCGCTGACCATGTGTTTGCCGAGCTTTGCAAGACCCACTCCTTCTTCATTACATATTTTCCCCTCACTGAAGACGCAGCCAAGTAGGTGTTCTAAGGTGTCGTGAGGACAAGAATTCGTGATATGGTTTGAGGCGATCCACGTGTACGATTTCGCGGCCTCGGCGACGCAGGTCCGTAGTGGGCGTGAGGGGTTCGATGATGTAGTTGACAGTGGAAGTTGGCTCTGCGACACGATAAGGTCCATGGTACCTGCTGACGAACTTTGTAGAGGTACCAAGAGCAGCAGTGGGAGGCACCCACAGCGAAACAAGAGAGTTGGTCGAAAACTGGTTGTAGGACCGTCCTTTGTCGTGACGAAATTTCTGTAGCCCTTGTTCTTGTGTTGTAAGGGTGCGAGCTAATTGCCGACATTCTTCCGCATACCGCGCGGCTTCGGAAACTGGTGTGCCTTCGGATGAGTCAGGTCGGTAGGGGAGAATGGTATCCATTGGAGATGATGGCTCTCGACCATAGAGTAAGAAGAAGGGAGAAAAGCCTGTCGTTGCTTGAGGTGCCGTGTTGTTAGCGTACGTTACGTGGGGAAGAATAAGATCCCAGTTGGTGTGGGCGGAGTTGACATACGTATAGAAAGCATGTCGCTGTGGGTGCGGTCGAAACGTTCGGTCAGGCCGTTTGTTTGTGGGCGGTATGCGGTAGTACAGCGCTAAATCATGACATTCAGCGAGAAGTTCTTGAATAGGATCCGCAAGAAATACGCGGCCTCGGTTGATCAAAAGTTCACGAGGAGTGCCGTGACGCAGGACAAAACGTTGCAGCAGGAAAGACGCAACGTCACGTGCCGTCGCGGCTGGTAGAGAGGTCGTTTCTGCATATCTCGTGAGATGGTCGATCGCTACAATAATTCAGCGATTCCCAGCTGATGTATATGGTAGAGGACCATAAAGGTCTATGCCAACCCCGTCTAATTGTCACACTGGGCACGGTAACGGCTGCATTGGTGCAGTAGGGCGGCTAAGATCGTGCTTGCGGCGTTGGCACTCTGTGCAAGATCGAATGTACTTTTGAACGAATGTGTACATGCCATGCCAATAAAACCGAAAACGTAGCATTGCGTAGGTTTTAAACAAACCGGCGTGTGCACACTGCGGATTGGCATGGAAAGCAGCACATATGCTGGCACGGAGATGCCTGGGTATGACGAGCAGCCAATTGCGGCCGTCACGTTAGTAGTGACGTGTAGTAGTTAGTGTACGCGCATGCTGACTTAGCTAGTGGTCACGAGTTCGATTGTCGTGTGTTTGCTGCAAATTTTCTTAAACTTATTTGTGAGTGTGATGTTTGGATATCGATTGTACATCTAATCACACGTCTGTATACATTTCAAAATGCCGGTTAGCTGAACCAAGAACTGATGTTTGTTTTGCGCAAACTGTTGCTCCCTTGAGGAGTATTAGAGGATGGGGGGCGGAGCAACTTCTCAGTTACCCCCAAAACGGAGGAATGGTTGTGGAAGGTTACTCCCCTAAAGAAGCA